GTGACACGACCGGGCCTTCGGCTGCTCCGCGCTGCAGGCTGGAGCTCAGAGCCTCCGGACACAGCAGCGGCAGGAGGGAACGCTACAGAGGTTGTGTTTGCGCCACCAGAGCAGTGCCGGTGTTGGTTTACTCTGTACAAAGTGCCTGAAACGTGTGTGCAGAGCAAAGGCCTGGTATTCACCTTCCTTTAAATACACCACCAAGTACACTCCAGCCTTCTCACTCTGCCTCCTTTCTCTCCCAGGAGCTGTCCCTCCGAACACCACCACCCTCCCCAGCTGGGTCACACACTCGTCCCCAAACCTCCAATCCTTGCACCAACTCTTCCCCTACTTTCATCTCTCTCTTTTAGGACTTGCTCTCCTAAAAAGAAATCGCTTTCACCCTCAACAAAGTGAAGGGAGAGAGACTCTGGGGTTTGCTCCCCAGGGATGCTCACAGGATGTCAGAAGTCACTGCTCTCCCCACTCACCCTTCCTAGTGCTCCCCACCCCTGTGGATCTGCTGGTGCCGGAGCAGCGCAGAGCTCACTGTGAAGCCCTTCCCGCAGTTGGCACAGGCGTAGGGACGCTCCCCAGTGTGGATGCGCCGGTGCTGGATGAGGTGGGCGCTCTGCCGAAAGCTGTCCCCGCAGTCGGCACAGGCATAGGGCCTCTCCCCTGTGTGGACCCGGCGGTGCCGGAGCAGGGCTGATCTCCACAGGAAGCTCTTCCCGCACTCAGTGCACTCAAAGGGACGCTCCCCAGTGTGGAAGCGGCGGTGCTGGATGAGGTGGGAGCTCACGGTGAAGCTCTTCCCACATTCTGTGCACCCATAGGGGCGCTCACCCATGTGGAAGCGCCGGTGTTGGATGAGGGCTGAACTCACGGTGAAGCTCTTCCCGCACTCGGAGCACTTGTACGGCTTCTCCCCGGTGTGGACCCGCTGGTGCTTCATGAGCTCAGAGCTCTGGCTGAAGCTCTTCCCACAGTCCATGCACTCGTAGGGTTTCTCCCCGGTGTGGACCCGCTGGTGTCGCGTCAGGGCTGAGCTCACACTGAAGCTCTTCCCGCAGTCGCTGCACTCGTAGGGTTTTTCCCCGGTGTGCACTCGCTGGTGCTGGACGAGCTGCGAGTTCCCGGAGAAGCTCTTCCCGCACTCAGCACACGTGTAGGGCTTCTCCCCAGTGTGGGTCACCTGGTGACGGATCAGCTTCGAGCTCATGCTGAAGCTCTTTCCGCACTCGGAGCACTCGAAGGGCCTCTCCCCTGTGTGGATTCTCTGGTGCTGGATGAGATGTGACCGCTGTCGGAAACTCTCTCCGCACTCATGGCAGGCGAAGGGTTTCTCTCCAGTGTGGATTCTCCGATGCTGGACGAGGTTGGAGCTCACCCGGAAGCTCTTCCCGCAGTCCCCACATATCGTCAGCCTCCCCACAGAAGGATTTCTCTGCTGGGTATCTGGCAGCCTTCTGAAACTTTTTCCACGCAGCGTCACTCGGCTTTGCCTCTTCCCCAGAGGTCTCTGAACCCTTTCTGTCTTGCATGGGAGGACTGAGTCCTGCACAGGACTCTGTGAACTGTTCTCCTTGGAGAGTCCTGAGAGGAAACCCTCAGGCTCCACTGGCCCAGGGATGCCTCTGTGGGCATTTTCCTCTTCCTTGCTCACAATCCTGTCTTCAGCTGCAATAAAATGAGAATCTACAGAGAAGTCACAAGCAGGACAGGAAACTTTCAACAGGGGAAATCAAAAGGGGCTAAATTCTAAAAATTCAGCAGATTTACTTTAAGTATAAAAAGTTTTGATATTTCCCTCCAAACTACACAGTGGGCTTTTCAGTTCTCAGGAACAAACCCTAGAAACAGCCCTGCATGTTTTGCCAGAACTCGAGTCTACTGCAGTTATTGGCACATCAAAGGTAAAAGTTTAGTGCTCGAATGGGAAAAGATAGCGGCTCTCTCAGAGTAGAATATCAGAAGATGTTATTAAAAGTTGAACCAGGAGTCAGAGGAGGGTCACAACAAACTGCCTTGTTCAGCAGAACATCACTTGGATTGCAACAGATGAAACCTCCCTGCTCTTGTGTTGCCAGTACTGCAGAGGAGGGAAGATCCACCAAGGAGATGCTGGCCGTTAGTCATGAGACACAGAGACCACCTGGAGTCTGGCTTATGCCAATCTTAGAGCAGAAGAAAGGCAACTTGATGCTTCCAATGGCGCAGAACAAATCTGTCGTGAAAGGTGGTTGGTGCATTGAAGATCCTCCATGGCCAATTCTAGATTATGCGCTGAGGAAATCCGGTAAACACAGCAGACGAAGGTAGTGCAAGTCAGTGGAAGCAACACTAGGTGAACAGTTACGAGTGGCTCCTGGGACACAAGCAATGAACAAATCCCTGCCCCACATCAAGCCTTGCAGAAGCATAACCACTATGAATCTCTGCTGCACAGGCTCAAGGTCAGCTGAAAACCTTTCCAAGACAAACGGCTTGCACAGATTTCAAGGGTATTTACACAGAGCAGTGACTCCTTCCGGGCCCACTGCTATCACATGGTTTGATGAGCATCCTAGCAGGTTCAAAAGCACATACTCCCAACAGTGCTGTGCCTTTTGCTGTCAGCAGGGAAATGTAGCTCTTTGTGGGTTTATATGCTAAATTGGCAAGACAGGACCTGTGTGGCATCAGGGAAGGGTAAATGGATGTCAGAGGGATGTACATGGGATGTAGAAATTGCAACGTGCATCTCTGAAGAAAGGCATCACCTCCAAGTTTAAGAGAGGTCAATCAGGGAAAGGTATTTCCAGATGATCTCTTTATATGGACTTCCCAGCATGAAGAATGACTTGCTGTTGACTATACGTACACCCAAAACATGGAACAGGCTGAGGATGAAAGATGCAGACACATGGACCTCCAGATTTTCTTCCTTAAAAGATTCAAGAGCTACCTCTTGGTTCTCTGAAAGCTCTTGGGAAATAAACCTGTAATGTATCAGTCGCATGGGATTGATGTACAAACCACAGGCACTTCTGTGGTCTGGCAGGGTTGCGATAAGGAAGTGCATGGCTTGGAAGAGGAAAGTCACTACTGAACCGTAAGTATGCAACACAGGAAGGAGAGTCTAGAATTTCAACCCAGACTGATACACTTACATATTTAATCCTCCTTGTTCTAATCAGTATAAAAAACTATCGCAATATGATTTCACAGGGAACTCCTGAGATACCTTTTATGGCAGCCTGGTGTGGTAGTGATGCCACTTCTTCTCTCACATAGCTTTCATTAAAATCATCCCTTGAGAGGAACAGAAACTGGAACTTTGCTGTTCACCATGAAGGCGTTTCCATTTGTCTGCAGCTACTCCATCCAGGCCTGGAGGAAAAGAGAAAGGTGATATCCAAAGGCAGGACAAGAAGAGGACGTTTCTGGCAGGCCAGCTCTTGACCTGTGTGTGTCAGACTCACTGAGTAGACGATGGAGCCAGTGAAATTGTTCTGTTGCTGTTGTGCCCAAAGATATGTCCTTCATCTCCCCTAGCTATGATACTTACATAGAATTTTGGTTCTTGACACAGAACTTGAAAAGGCCTTCAAAGTACACGAGAATCAAGTCTTCTATGGTGTTCTGTGGTGTTTTGGGGAAGGTCAGGAGTTTCAAGCTTCTTATTGTAGTAATTACAGCCACGGTTCCAGCTCTCAGCTATGAAACATCTACAACCATTTTTGGTACTCCTAAGCTCCTAGGTACTTCACTGGCATCAAGTTCAGTGACAGGAACACACTGGAGGTATTTTAAAGTGAGAGTAAGGGTGTGACCCTTCTCTCTTATAACTTAAGAGAGGGAACCACTTGTAGACAGTTTGGAGAGAGAATTCACACTGCTGAGAAATTAACACTGGAAGCATAAGGCTGACCTGGCAAAAATTAATAAGCAACAGAGATAGGAAGAATGTGGTTGATCCTCAGCCCATGCCAATTTGGGTTGATGGTAAGGTCTCTAATATGCCCAAGACTTCCAGTGCTGTAGCTAGAAGGCAAGCTCCAGGTAAGCAGAGTAAGTGTACATACTGTGAGAGAACCTAAATATCACCTTAAATGTGCCCTTGGGTCTCTCTTTCTCATGAGAAGCCAGCAGTAGAAGGAGTTTTGGCTGATGCTCTGGCCTGTCTCACAGCAGTGGGAGGACACAGCAATCATCTCTGGCACCGAATTCAAGAGTTCACAGAAGAGAAACCTGTGAGAACTATTAAAAATAAGACATCACCATCACGGGTAAGGCTGAGGCTGCTTGATGACAGCAGACTGTGCTGGGGAGGTGTCACTGTATACTTATCTTATCCTCTTCCCTGGCATCCAGTTCTGACCTGGCCCCAAACCCCTGAGCCAGGGCTCAGAGCTACACAGACCTTTCTCTAACGCAGCAAGGTGCTCACACGACTTCACAGCGCTGCTGGACTCCTGACTGGTACCTCCCTGGTGGGGGACTAGAAGGTGGCTGATGTGATGCCAGAGAAAGGGCTCAGGGGGGAGATGTGAGGCCCAACATTCTAAGCAAACAAACAGAAATCAGAGCAAGAGAACTAACAAACAGATGGCCAAAGAGGGCAGACTGGGGAACAGCTGGCACAGCCTTTGGAAAGAGATGTTCCACTTCACAAACCACTTGTGGTTCTTCAGAGATGCCACCAATTTTAGCAAAAGGGAGATCTGGAGTCCAAAAGTGTTCCTGAAAGACATTTGTCCTTCACCAAAACCAATAAAGAAAATAAGCTGCCATGGGATGAATGACCCTCAATAAGGTGGTGAGGGAGGGAAAGGGGAGGAGGAAACATCTGCTGATGATTCTGTGTATTCAGGGTAAAAGACACAAAGGCTGACTGTGAAGATAAAGTGCAGCAGAGCCATATGATACTGACCAACCAGGTGACAGAGGAATGACAGGGGACATTCACTGCAGAGAACAGCCTCTACACCTTGCACTTATACCAGGACGGGCTTAGGATGTTCTTGGTATCATTCAGGAATAGGACCTTGGAGTTAGAACAGAGAGATGAAAACTGCAGCTCTTAGGCAGACAAAACAGCTAATCAAATGTTAGTGATTGTTGGGCAAAAAAAGAGGGAATAAGAGAGAATGTAATTCTGCTTAGCAGCTCAAACGCCACATCCTGACTGTGCACAAGGGGGAGGACAGATCCCCCATTTCAGATAAACTCTTACAGAGCTGAGGAGGACACAGAGACATGACACAAATGATCAAAGGCAAGCACAGCTTCCCTACTACCCATTGTGCTGGGAAAAGGTACAGCTGATAGGGGATGATAAAAACACAAGCAGCCAGTGGGGTGGGCAGGGACCCGTCCTGTACCGTCTGCTCTAAATTAAGAACTACTGACAACCAGTGAATTCTGTAAGGCAACTTCAAAGCAAACCAAAGGAGGCAGTGACTCATAAAACAGCTAAATAAGCAGTGGAACTCCTTGCTGCAAGCTGTCGTGGATGCTAAAATGTACACAACTTCAGAAGGCAAGAAAATACACAGAGACCTGCAAGATATGGAGACATCACATGGCTAGTTCAGGAGTTTCTGAAGCCACAGACCGCCAGGGACACAGCACCACTTGACAGCTCTTCTCTTGCGTCTCCAGTACCAGCCACTGTCAGAGAGCAGGGGAGGCTGGCAGGACCACAGTCCAACCAGTATCACCATTCTCTTCTGCTGGGATCTGGGATCCTGAAGCTGCGTTTCTCACCGAGGTTTCACAGCTGATGGCCCAGCACCTTACCTGGACAGGTACCGCTTGTCCCTTCATGGGTGAGGAGGTGGGAGAAGCAAGGCCCCTCCTGATCCGTGTGGGAGATCATCTCCGGCTCTGCTCTGGGAGGTCCTGCTGCGGGAGAAGACACGAAGCGGCTCAAAGCGGGGCTTTGGCGGAGGGGGATTCTGCGCTTGGGAACCTGCAACTCCCCGCTGAGCAGGGACCCTGGCTCCACGGGGGGCACCGCGGGGCTCCCCAGCGCCCTGCGGCCCCGCTGCCTGCGCGCACCGCCCTGGGGAGTTAATGCTGCGCGGGGCCTGCGCGGGAACCCCGGGACTCAACCCCAGTACC